AACAAACAGACCACAAGCTGAGAGAATCCAGACTCCTTCCCTCAACCCCCTTTTCTCCTGCTCCTCCACTCCCGCTCCCCCCCCCGCCTCGAATGGTGGGCCCAGGCTTGGGGAGATGGATCCTGCAGAGGAGTGCATGCCTGGGTGGTAGAGCTGTTACTGACTGTGCTGCTTGCAAGAAAACATCAGGGTCTGTGGATGTACTGAAACTCCCACATTCAGTTATGCAACCCCATATGGGGTTTAAGAAGCAGTGACCTAGGAATGAAATGACGTCTTAAAAGGATTAGTGAGCCTTGGGCTGTAGCTGAAACCAGGGTTTCAACAGTGTCCAGAGTATGGAAAGTTAAAGAACTAAAGCAATTTGACTGCCACCACTGGCTGACTGTAAAGGTCAAGGCTTGAGAAGCAGGATTAAGGATGTTGGCCCTCTAGACTTCTGCCTTGAATTTGATTAAATAGTTCTGGAACTAACTTTGGCCAAGGCATGAAAAGCACTGTCAGTAATTTCTGTGAGGGTGTATTAGGTAAAGGTCTAAATTGTTTTCTATAAACCTTTTCCCTTTGAACCAGAATTTCATTGCCTGCTTTCTTGAATGCATTAAGTCTCAATTGCACTCTTACTAAAATACTCCTTTCTGCCATGTTCCACATGAGATAGTGTAGAGGTTTCACTTCACTAGTTTAGAGGTTTCATGGATCAAACTTTTTATAATTAATACATGTTGTGCTTTGAAGAAAAAAAATATGTCTTTGTTATTACAATTTTAGATGTGTGAAAAGCTTTCAGTTGCAAATATTGTCTTGCTCACTTCAGCTGGGAACTTTCTGGACAGAATGGTAGTTCTGTCATGTTCTTTAGAATTCTTTATCATGTAGGAACCAGAACTGAGAAAAAGACACTTTCGAGGCAATGACTCACAACTTACTAAAATAAGAGTAAGATACAAAAAGGGAGAAAGTAAAAAACTTTAAATTGATATTTTAAAAAAAGGAAAGTACATCCTTGCTGTCCTTCTTCTGCCTCAGTGACCTACCATATACAAAAGGAATTAAGAATATTCCTGACTGATACCATAACAGAGAAAGAAGCAACTGAGCATAATCAGCAAAATTTCATCCATTACTTACTAGAAGAATAGGACAGTCAGGCCTTAAGTTTATAAACAACAAAAGGCTGCATACAATAGCCCTATGACGAAAAACCCATTAAAATATGTGGAACTTCTCAGTCACAATTAAATTCAGCCCACTGATAATACTGAGTCCAATCTGTATTGGACTTAATGGTGGTCAACGTACCCTCCATTTTGCAGCCCTGGTGGGTGGGGCTCCTCTCTCTCTCACACAGCTTTGCTCCCGTGTGCGCTGGGTTCTTTTGCAACTGGAACCTAACCTGATCATTGTGCAGAGAAGGAAGAGAGCTGTGTGCACACACACCCAGCTCTGGGTTGGTTTTAACTGAAAGAACAGAATTTCATTTCTCTGGAGACACAGTTTAAGAGAGGCAAAAGTACTCCAGGTAAGGCAGCTTTGGTCTAGATTTCAACAAGGTAAACTGCTGTGAATACAGAATATACAGTATAACCTCTCAGGATCTTTAAGAGGTGAGAGTTGTTGGGTTTAACTCAATTGTATGATCATAGAAGTTTGCTCAGTACCATTTTCATTGTTTTGTTCTTCTTGGGAATGTATTTTAAAAAGTCAGAAAATTTGAAAAATCAAAAGAGCTGGAGGAGCATTTTAAAAACATTTAAATAATGAGTGGATTGTTCTATTTTTCTTGTTTAAAAAATCCTTTCAGAGAAGTGTGTCTGAAAATTCTTTAGTGGCAATGGATTTTTCTGGACAAATAGGACGTGTTATTGAAAATCCAGTAGAAGCACAGACTGCAGCCTTGGAAGAAGGACATGCTTGGAGGGTAAGGATGTCCCTTTGCTGATTTGTTATCCAGGTGACCCAAGTGACAAGTGATTGTTTTAACCTAAAAATCCATGTGTCTCTTGTACTAAAATGCCAGGTCAGTCGTTCTGGCTGGAAACATTCACATGTATAATGCCATAAGATGGGAGTAGTCGGTAGCATTATCAACTGCATCATACAAGCTCCTGTGACACAGCTGCTGGTCATATTTTAAGGAAGTAGGTTACTTGGGGCTGTTTCCTGAATCAGCACCGTTGGGTCCCCTAATGGACCAGTAGGGGGACAGCTGTAGTGCCACCCACCATCTGTATGATATGAATTTTTTTCAGTATTACTGGGAGCAGAGTGGGAGTAGCAAAGATGCTCCTAGGTTGTTAACGGTAACATTTGAAAAGATCCTTCTGGTGCACCTTCCATTCTACACCATTCACAGCAAAGTGGGTATGGACATGTGCCCATATTCATCTTAATCTGTATCTCCCATCATACATCAGCTAGATCAAGGAACAATACATTTAGTATATTGTTCATTAAATATTGTTATCTTGCTCTCTGTCCAGAGACTACAGGATTGTATAAAATGGTCCTTCTCTCCTCCTTCCCTACAACCCATGAGGTAGAATTGTCTAAGATGTGAAAAAAGACCTAAGATCACCTTGTCAGCTTTACAACAAAACAAAGATTTGACACACAGAAGATCTTATTTAGCCTTGAGGGATTTAGAACTGATACTTTGTTCTTAGCTTCATTGAATGAATACTCAGCCAACCCCTCATTTGAATTAAAGAGACTAAATTTTACTTAATATGGACAGAAATCTGACAAAACAAAGATTTGACACACAGAAGATCATCTTTAGCCTTGAGGGATTTAGAACTGATGCTTTGTTTCATTGATGGAATACTCAGCCAAACCCTCATTTGAATTAGAGAGTAAATTTTACTTAATATGGACAAAAAACTGCTTTTGTTTTTTTTGTTTTTTGTTCCCCTTTATGTTTTATTTTCTAAGTGGAAAAAATGTTTTTTTATAATAAAAGTATGATTGGTATTCACAGAAACTGCCTTTCAAAGCCTTTCTCATTTGGCAAAATTATACCATTTTGCCATCGGCCTTTTAGGAATATATTGTTGTATCCTGTCTTTTTTGCAGACACCTCTTCTCTTTCCCTTGATTAGCCTCACAGGGTAGTGGTGAGGGTAAGAGGTAGGGAGTTACCTACATTACCAAGGAAATTTCATGACTCAGTTGGAAACTTGTTGAGGCAGAAAAGTAGTACCTGAGGAGAGAAAAGATTATAAACAATTAGCTCACATATTTTCAACCAGGTCACACTTTGTGAGATATTTTTTATATATGCAGTTATTCTTTCCTTTACATACACACAATATGACCATAGTTTTGTTCTGCAGAAACGCAGCACAAGAATGAATATCCTGGGTAGCCAAAGTCCCCTTCATCCTTCCACACTGAGCACAGGTAAGACAGATTGCTGCGGATGAATACTTGAAGAGTGGGAGGCCCTGTTAATTTCAGTGCAAAAGTTAAGCTTAGGGGCCAAGCTTACTTTGCTACTGTATTCTTAGGGCATTAAGCCTCATCTATCAGGATAAAAATGTCTTGAGTATTTTTGACCCCATGAGAATTCCAGTGCATTGAGCCTTAGGAGTAAGACTAGCATCAGGTTCAAGGCTAGAGTTCAGTTTAAATGTACATCCAGACTTCATTTGGATTTGGGAATATATGGAATTCACAGATGTCTGCCACACTCGGATAGTTCCAAATACTGTAAATTTGAATCCAAATTTAATAGCTTTGAATATCTATATTAATAATTCCTAATCTTTGGAGTCCCACTTGTTCCTATAGATGAGAAAGCAAAAGATGAGGTTTCTGCTTGGTAGGGGAAGAAGTTAAAGTAAAGCTGGTTTCTCTGGCACTTTGGAGTGATTTCTTGAGAAATGAAAAAAGACACTCTGGCTTCAAGGGTAGTAGGGGCAGAGAACTCTTCCCATAGAGGGGGATGAAGTGAGAGCAAAACTATAATCAAGAATAAGGATTAGTAGATGTATAGATTCATATGTTATAAATCAACAGGAAAATATAATATTAGTTTTTGGCTCCTTTGGGGTATATCAGGTGTGGGAATAAAATTTTGCTTAATACAGATTAAGTTAATAGGGGTGTGTGGGGGGGGGCAGAGAACTCTTCCCATAGAGGGGGATGAAGTGAGAGCAAAACTATAATCAAGAATAAGGATTAGTAGATGTATAGATTCATATGTTATAAATCAACAGGAAAATATAATATTAGTTTTTGGCTCCTTTGGGGTATATCAGGTGTGGGAATAAAATTTTGCTTAATACAGATTAAGTTAATAGGGGTGTATGTGGGGGTATGATTTTCATTGGAAGAGTTTGTGTTTTTATAGTAGCAGAATTATATGCTGTTCTTTGGGTAGAGTCTGTAGGCAGTATGAAACATGGGTATAGTAGAAGAATTAAGCACTTGGGAAAGGCTGCAGGAATTTACTGTGCTAAACAACCATACAGTGGTGCCTTGCAAGACGAAATTAATACGTTCCACGGTTAATGCCGTCTAGTGAAAAGTTCATCGTGTGAGGCACGGTTTCCCATAGAAATGCATTGAAACTTAATTAATGCATTCCTATGGGGGGGGGAGTCCAAAACAAAAAAAATTAAGTCACTTACCAGGTACTGTAGACTGAGCCCAGCTCCTCAGAGGGCCTTGGTAGCCCCGAAAAGCCAGAAAAAGAGCGCCAAACAGCTGAGAGCCCGGACCCAGCAGGGAAGCGGCAGCCATTTTGTGCTCTTCTCAGCTCCCTCCCCACCTCACAGCTGATCGATGGTGGGTGCAGCTCCCTCCCCACCTCACAGCTGATCGACGGTGGGTGTTAGAAGCTTTCCCTGGGTTTGACCAGCACAAAAAAAGATAGCTTTCCCTGGGCTTGCCCAGCACCAAAAAGATATGGAAATAAAAAAATTTGTGCTTTCCCCCTGCCCCCGGGGAAGCCTCTAAAAGCGGCACTTTGCTGTTGGGGGGCCAGGCGAAGCAGGGCCATAGGAACGTTCCTCTTGTGAGGCACCAAAACCCTAGCCAGACCACTTCATCTAGCGGGTTTTTCGTGCCACAAGGCGTTCGTCTTGCGAGGCACCACTGTACTTTGGTAAGTGCAGTGACTGTACTGTTGAGTCTTGAGGCCTTCCTCATATATTGTTGTAACTGAAGCTGATGGCCTTTTAGGAGGGAAAAGACAACCTGTTTGAGAATTTTTTTTGCATAGTTTGTACCTAGGAAAATGCAATACGTTCTCTATACAGCACATTTATTTTCTGCTAGGAGTTTGTCAGTAAATATTCCATGGCTGTGTTTTGGGTACACATCTGCCCTCCAATAAAAATGCTTGTGTGTTTTTCTGAATGGTTCCATTTTTAGGTTTTATAAACATTTGTTTGAAGTTTCATGCTTCTTCAGTGTACATTTGTGAATAATTCTAAATTGTGTTAAATCCGACAACTGATAGCAGATCTTATCCTTGATGTGCTGGCAATAAAACTGATTCAAACATGGAAACCTTTTTCATATCCATATTGTATTCTCTTAATTGATTAATTTATCATTTTGCAGCTGCATAGATAAGAAGGCAAATGAGCAATAGATCATGTGACTGAATTTCTCACAACTCTGCTGTCTAACTTGCTATGGAAGGAGCAGAGCACCACAGTTACATGAAAAACAGGAAAGCAATGATACTTGCTCATCAGAAGGGTGGGGATATGCCTATGAAAGTCTATAACACTATACAGTACATAGAGTGGTGCCTCGACTTACGACCATAATCCGTTCCAGAAGAGGGACGTAACTCAAAATGGTTGTAAGTCAAAGCACCATTTCCCATAGGAATGCATTGGAACGCGATTAATCCGTTCCAGCATTAAAAAAATACAAAAAACCACACCACTGTCAGACCCATAGGAATGTGCTGGGGCTGCAAAAATCAACAAACTCAAAAATAAACAAAGGAACAAGCCCTGTCGCAACAACAAAACACAGAAACATAACCCCCCCCAGCCCAAAACCACGCTGCAAAACCCACCCAGAACAGTTCTTAAAAAGCAGAAAGCATTACCTTACCTTTCCAGGCAGTCCCAAGCCTCCTCCAATCACACACTCTCTAACTGCTGGGGTGAAGGAGCTACAAAGAAGCAGCCTCGTCGCCACCTACAGTTAGCAATTTGAATTTCCCCCCCTTTTCCCCTGCCTTTTTCTGTTCGTAACTGGAAGCTCCGGCTGCAAGGCAAAGCAAAATTTTGCAGCCAGAGCTGGTTGTAACTCGAAATGGTCATAAGTAGGGACATTCGTAAGTCGAAGCACCACTGTATATTATATCACTGTTAACTCTTTATTTCTGCAGTTATCCATAGGACACAGCACTGGTTTCATGGCAGGATTTCTAGAGAAGAATCACACCGAATTATTAAACAGCAGGGTCTTGTGGATGGGTATGCATTTTTCATTAAGAATGTACTATTTACAACTCTGTCTGGAGGTCCCAGTTGGAAACCATGGTCAAGTGCCCTGGTATACCTGAGTTTTGTTTTATGTAGACTAAAAGCCTGTGGCATAAAATGCTTGGAAAACAAACTTCAATATAAAATTCAATAGTATTTTTTTTTCACTGAATATTAATAAGAACAGAGGAAATGGCCTTCTGCAATGTCAGATAGTCTGTCTAGGTTAATACTGTCTACAGCAGAGCTTGGAAGCGTTTAACTACAAGTAGCTACTCGTAATTTATTCCACTTTGCAATAACTGAGGTATAACTAAATTAGCGTATTTTTTCGCTCCATAAGACGCACCTGATGATAAGATGCACCTAATTCAAATAAATAAATAAATAAAAATAAAACTCCGCCCCAGGCAGCTCATCATCCGGAAGCGCTCCCTGCCCCAGAAGGGGAGGAGAAGGGCTGCTTGGTGACAGTGGCGGCAGCGGGAAGAAGGGGAGGAGAAGGGCTGCTTGGTGACAATGGCGGCGGCGGTAAGCCGGTATTCGCTCCATAAGATGCACACACTTTCCCCCACTTTTTTGAGGGGGAAAAAGTACGTCTTACGGAGCAAAAAATACAGTATGCTATGATTAATGTACTTAAAAGTTCCCTAATTCGCTCCATAAGACGCACACACTTTCCCTCCACTTTTTTGAGGGGGGAAAAGTACGTCTTACGGAGCGAAAAATACAGTATGCTATGATTAATGTACATACAAGTTCCCTCATTTTGTGGTGAAATTGTAATTTGTTACTCAGTTTGACAAATAGGGGACATTGGTTGTAGAGGAAGAATATCACATGGGTCAAGTGCTGCCTCTTACAGTCTTGTGTTTATTAGTGTGGTCAATGGGAGGAGAGTGCTTTCTGTACCATAGGCCAATAGCTTGCAGCATTCAGAGGATTTAAAATAAAATTGGTTCTCCGTTGAGTCCATGTATGTACACAAAAGGAAAGTTTTGATTTGGACAGTTCCAGAGCCTCAAAAGCAGAATTGTCTTTGCCTATACTGTGCAAGCGCAGCCTCACTCTTGTCAGTCCATTTTTGTCCACTGTTGCAATAGCACGCATTGGACTGCTCTAGAGACCCTCTTTTCTTTACTTACCTGCATCACTCCTGCAAAAGTTTTGCCTTCCTTTACCTCTTTTTCCTACATTTTCCTTTCCTCTTCCTTTAAAAAAGAAGAAAGAATGAATGAAAGAAAGGTATTTTGTTAGTGGATTATTTTCTTAGGAGTCTCCCCTCCCCTCATGGCTAGTAGCCATTCTCTTCCTACTGATTTATGACCTATGCCTTTAGGAAAAAGTGTGCCACTTGTGGTAAGAAGGTCTCTCAGTCTGATGGGCATGATGCCTGCCTGCCTGCCTTTTCTGTTTAGGAGAAACCCATTTAGTCAAATCCTACAAAATTTGCCAGATCTTTACCAGTCTTGCCCTTGAAAATCGCCAGTCCCGCGTTCACTCCCTTTTCTGGGAGCAATCCCTTCAGGCCACTGACCCTACTCCTGGGGGACATCTTAATTCCCAAAGTTGCCATCACTCAAGACATGGATCTGGTGGTGCTACCAGATAAGACCCCAGTGTGGGATCCTGAGGCACCTTCAACCTTGAAAACATCCTTGAAATCCACCAAGAAATCAGAGCACTGTAGCTACAAGTGACCCACAGACTCCAATATCAAAGCAAACCAAGCAGAAGAAAAAGTGGCAGCCGACCGACACCAAGCTTCTCATGGCCACCTCAGACTCCCAACTGCCTATCCAAGAGCCTGCCTCTGCTCATATTACCAATGCCCAATATACAGTCTCTGTCTCAGAGGGTAAATACCTTAGCCCCTCTGCACAGAGTGTTGCTACAGGTATCTCTGAGTCCTCCTTCTCCTTAGATTTCTCTTCAAGAGCCATCCTTGCCTCCTCGTGTGCCCGAGGATGAGCTAAGGTCATAATCAAGGTCTCATCCATTGACCCAATGGCCATCCTCACCAAGACATCGTGGCTGGGAATATTGGAGCTAAAATCATACTCAGGTACGTGATCTCCATCACATCAGTATACTCCATGCTACTTGAGATCTTTTCGGTAAACTCTCAGTATTATGAGGACTACTACGCTCTGTTCTTTAGCCCTCTCAGTTTGTCTATGAGGATAGAGGCTGATCATTGCAATCTTGCTGGAGTCAACACAGATCTTGAGACCACAGCAGACTTCGTTTTTGCATTTATGTTCAGTCTCGGTCTCGAGAAACATATGAGCACCCCTTGGGATCGATCCCCCTGATTATCATGACAGGCAGGATGATTCCTATCGCCACCAAGAATCTGAAACCATGCTCTATCTTGATCTCCCTCACCAAGGGCTGGTGTCAGCCCCCAGCAATCTACCAAATTGCACCCAATACAGGGCCAACATCACCAGGCTGCTACTCATACTTTGGCCATCCAACCTTACTCACTGCAGGTGTTTCTACTGCCTCCTAATCCAGACTTCATACTTACCTCTCAACTGCCACCCAATGACTAGCAGATCCAGATGACACCTCCCATTCCTGTAAGAGACAAACAGTCAGATGACAGCTTGTACAATTCAGGGTCATATGAGGAAAATGAACCTGCTCTTGTCCCAGGGCCCCTTATCTGATCCAGATGTGCAGGACTCTGCTCCTCTTTCACCCCCAGATACCTCTCCTGCTATAATGATCTGATAGAGAGAATGGTGAAGTCGTTGCATGTCCCAACCTTTAAATCAGTGCCACCAGCAAAAGACTCTGTCTTAGCTCGTACTAACAAAAAAAAAATCCTACATCTCTTTGGGAATGACGGTGCTTGGGACTCTGACTGACCTCATTAACCAGTCTTGGCAGAAACCTTCCTCCATCCCACTCACATCTCGCTGGACTGGTAATTTGGTAAATTTATCCAAAAGGATAAAGCTACATTTCTCTTTAAACATCCTGTAACAAACTCTGTCATAATTCAAACTGTCCAACTTACTGTATATCTAAAAAGCACTTCCCCTTATACACCTGCTAAGGTCATAAACTTGACTTACTGGCCTGCAAGGTCTACTCATTGGCAGTGCTCCACACGTGCATAGCTAATTATCAAGCTATGATGGGAGCTTACCACCAGTTCATTTGGGAAAAATTTCAGCTCATCATTGTCAGTCTCCCCCCACCCTGGAGAAGCAGACACTTGTTATCTCTTTCCAATAAGAGGCTTGCACACTTGCCAGCCAACAAATCCACATCACATAGTAAACTGCACAGCAAAGAGCATGGTGGTGATTATTACTCTCTGACGGCATGCTTGGCTCCATTCAGCGGGTCTCCCTGAGAACTCAAAGTCTCGGATTTGAAGACCTCCCCTTTGATGGGGATGGCCTTTTCAACACTGACAATAATGCAGGACCTTCACAAAAAGAGAACTGACACTAAGAAAATGGGCATTATTAACATATATTGGTCGATGCCACAGCATTTCCATTCTCAGTAGAAGTGCTCTCTCCTGTACACCACCTTCAAGTCAACGTCTGAGTGGTCAAAAACATTAGACCAATCTACTTATCAAAGATTCATTCCAGTTTCGTCCTCTGTGAAATACAAACCAACGATCTTCACCAAGAAGGTGGAGAGGAAGCCAAAACAGCAGTTTTGATGAGCTTGACACATGCCACCTTCTCCATCACATATCCACACATACAGACATATGCTTAGCACCCTTTCTTCACATCTGGCACACTATCACCTCGGATATGTGGATCCTCAACATCATCATCCATAGCTACACAATAGAATTTTCTGCTGTCCTGCTCACTGGACATATATGACACACTCCACACTCCATTTTCCTTGAAGAAGTTTGCACCTTGCTGGCAAAAGGAGGCATATCACCTTCATCATCTTTTAAGTGGCTTCTTTACCTTACCCAAAAAGGATGGTGAGTTGTATCCTATACTCAACCTCCATGCCCTGAACAGAATCATCACCCCAAAATGTTTCTGACGTACCACTGCCATGCACTCCTCTTTGGCCTCTCTACAGCCCTGAGAGTCTTCATTAAATGCATGGTGCCAGTGGCTGCCTTTCTCAGAAGGCAAGGCATCACTGTCTTTCCTTCCTCAGCCATGAATGACCACTATTACACACTCCACCCAAAGACTCATTCAGGCCCAGCACATAAAGGTTCACTCAGTGCAATGCCTGCCAGGCATTTGGTATCCACCACATCCATTTTACTGTACCTCATGCCAGACTCAGAATGTGGCCACTCCAATCTTTTTGCCTACTTGCCTACAATGACAGAAGGGACTCCTCTCACAAAAAACCACTTTCTTCTGCCATGACTCAAGCACCAGGTTCTCTGGTGGACACCCCAGAGTCACCTATGGGTCAGCACTCCACCAGCAGCACCCATCTCATAGTGATGCAAAAAATGATAGAATGGGGTGCACACTGTCACCTCAGGACAGCACGGGTACTGTGATCCAGACACAAGAGGTCTCACCATATCAACTTCCTCTAACTTTTTGCGGTTTTTAATGCCCTACAGGCTTTCAGGAACATAATCCATGGCTGCTGTGTCCAGATCTCCATGGACAATATTGTACTGCTGCAATGTTCTGTGTGAAGAAACAGGGTAGCACCAGGTCCCTGAGCCTCCTGTACCTCTCCAGCATCATCTGGGAATGGTGCATCACCCTGCCAATTTCTCCAATAGCAAATCACATCGCTGACATGGACAACGAAACAGCAGATCATCTCAGCCGAATTATGACCCAACCCACGAATGGAAACTATCCCACAGGGTTTATGATCAACTAATCCTCTCATGGAGTGAACCCTCTGTGGACGTCTTTGCAACCACCAGCACCTAGGGGGTGCCTTCACCATGGACTGGACTAGTGGCCTACTATACATGTCCCTTTCTTTCCCCTGATCCAGCGCACACTCATGAAAATCCTGCACAACAGCTCTAATGTGGTCCTTATTATTATCCCTTGGTGGCCTTTCCACGAATGGTTTACGACCCTGCTCCTCTTTGCCACCCAACAGAATTAGGCTGCCCCTGCGCCATGACCTCCTCTTTCATCACTGGGACACAGTCCTCCATCCAGACATTCTTCACCTGAAGCTCACTGCCTGGAGGATATTCCCCTCCTCACAAACATTTTGAGACAGGCCTGGAACCCATCCACAAACTGTCTCTATAGCTACAGTTGGAAAAAGTCCCATCCTTATATGTCTTCACATGATCTGCTGCACTCTCTGGTTCTCTACCTATTGTCCTAGCCTTTCTCCTGCACCTCAGGCAACAGGGCCTTTCCATCTCCTCTGTAAAGGTCTGTGCACCTTTTTTGGTTCACCAACCAGCTGGTCACTCATCCTAATGCTTTTTCACGCACCAGATGGTTAAGATGTTTATGAAAGGTCTTCAGAATGCCTAACCCAACGTGTGGCCCCCAGAAGACCCTTGGTCTCTCTCACTGGTCTTATCTCCTTTCAAGCCACTGGTGATGACAGACCTCCATCTCCTGACCTTTGAGACAGCTCTTCTGGTGGCCCTCATGTCTGATTGCCAGTCAACAGAACTGGCAGCCATCCTCTGTTACCCTCCACATCTGGTTTTCTCCCATGACAAGGTTGCCCTCTATACAGATATATCTTTTCTACCCGAAGTGGTCTCCCATTTCTTCATGTCACAACCTTTGATTCTACTTACCTTTTATCCTTCACAGTAGAAAGACCTCAAACGCTCACTCCGCTCTCTGGATGCTATGAGGGCCTTGGCATTTTACGTAGACAGGACAAAAGATTTTAGGCAAACAACCAGGCTTTAAGTCTGCTACCAGATTCTGAGAAAGGGGCACCCAGTATCCTCCCAGTATTTCTCCAAATGGATCACCTTGGCCATTTCCCTCACTTTCCAGCTACCGAGCAAGCCATTGCCTAGAACCGTTTGTGATCATTTCGTCAGGGGAGTATTCTCTTCTGCTGTGTTCTTATGTGGCATACAGGCCATTGCTGAGCGGCTACAGAGTCAAGGCTGTAGGACTCACTACAGATTAGATTTCAGAGCTCAGAGATGCTTCCTTTGGCTGGGCTGTTTTATCCCAGTTAGACGTAACTCCCACTTCTAAACTTTAACTTGCCGGTCACCCCTTTTGTGTGCATACATAGACACCATGAAGAAGAAGTTTTTACTCACCATAACTATGTTTCTTCGAGTGGTGATCCATGTAACCACACAACCTGCCCACCTCCCCTCATGTTTTGCCTTCTGTCTTGTGGTGGACAATAGGGACTGACGAAAGTGGGACTGCACATGCGCAATATAGGCAAAGACACTTTCACTTTTGAGACTCTGGGACTTTCCAACCCAGCGTTCACACAGGCGCAAACCCTTTTGTATGGATATATGGTTCACCACTTGAAGAGCCATAGTTACAGTGAGTAACTACATATTTTCGTTGGAAGCTCTGGCATCAGCTCCCCAGAGGATTAGAAAGAAATCTGTTCCAGTCCTAGTTGGAAGTGCAAAGAGCACCTCAGAGTACCTTGTCTAAAATTGTTTCCACTGACCTGGAATGCTCATGACAGAGACTTTGAAACTTATGTATGTATTTGTTTTTCTAAGAAGTGTGATGCTGCCACAGTTTTGTTAGCATAATGAAATAATTGATTAAATTCCAAATGAATTATGTATTGCTATAGACTTTGTACGTGCATCAAAGGTAAATGACATAATAAAGCACTTAATGTGTAAGAAACAGTTTGCAGTCAATGTAATAGAGACATATACTGCTTTCCCCCCCCTAGGCTGTTTCTTCTTCGGGACAGCCAGAGTAATCCAAAGGCATTTGTACTTACGCTGTGTCATCATCAAAAAATAAAGCATTTTCAGATTTTGCCAGTAAGTACAGTAATTTTTCACTGTGGTATAGATTTCACTATAGAATGTGTTTTTTAAAAAATTGTTAGAAACCTTTCAGTTGACCTAACAAAAATGTTTGCTTCTTCAGCATGGCCTCTGTGAATACACACAGAAGGGTTAAATCAGCGCCTGCGCTGGACCGCTCGGAATTTTCTAGAGCTGAACCAATTCCTTTCACCCCGTGCACCCGATGCACATTCTTAGACTCATTCCAGACCTTTTCTTCAGAGGGCTGAAGGCTCTCCCTCTCTCATTCTCTCCTCACAAAATTATCACCAGTTGGTTGATTAGAAAAGGAGCACATGCCTGCCGCTCTCCAGGCACTAGACAAGTAAAAGGTGTCACCCGATTCAGCCCTGTTTTTTCAATCATGAATGAAAAATAGAAAGATGAGAAGCCTGATATACTTTCATTGACAGCAAAATAGTGTGTGTGTGATCTAAAAATTGCAGGACATTATGGTCCCACAGTGCTTGGAGAATTGAGAAATACCCTGTTTTCCAGAAAATAAGACCTAACCTGAAAATAAGCCCTAGTATGATTTTTCAGGATGCTCGTAATATGAGCCCTACTCCCAAAATAACCCCTAGTTAAGTGAAACCCCGCCCTCCACCATTGTGCAGCAACCAGAAGATGACATGACTGTAAAATAAAACATCCCCTGAAAATAAGCCCTAAAGCATTTTTGGAGCAAAAATTAATATAAGACCCTGGTACTGTTTTAAGAACATAAACATTATTTCTAAAAACAAAGGACTGAACTTCAGATCACACATATATGCATAGAGATGCCAGTTTCAGTTTTATGACCTCATCATATGCAATACCTGGTGTTTAATAAAGACTTCTACCCATACTATTGTCCCCATGGGCAATAGATATTTCTTTATTTTTCATGTAATGCCTTCAGTATGAAATTGTCCCCATTCATGACCTGTCTCTTCAATTTATAAGAATTTGTTTAAGCAACATAGGTGATAATAATCTAAACTATTTTTTCATTAAAAAGTTGTTTGTGTATCCTTTGTCAGAATTTTTTTTAAATTAATTTTTATATACTTTATTTTTATGCCAGAATTACCAAATTCAAAATTCATTTCCCCTCAGTGGCATAATTATCAAGGCCTGTGGGGGATTTCCTTGTGCACAACTAATATTGTGCAAGATATTGAATTGTTTGGGAAGGCATATGTTATGCAACTGTATCTGGTTGTGCAGTGAGATACAACAGAGTACAACAGAGATTTCACAAAAAAATGCAAGTATTTTGAACACCATTAGTTGCATATATGAAATTTCCCAACAAGTTGTTGTCCCAGATGATTGTTGTAAAAATCTGGGAAGTGCTAAATTCACATAAATTCAGTTTCTGAATTTGGATTCTTTATCTAGCCTGTTGAGAAGTGAGCTAAGAAATCAGATGTTTCACAAAGAAGATTGGTGTTTGTTTTGCCCAAAACTTTGCAACATAAAATATTCAAGTAGTACCAAAAATTTATTCAGTCTTTGTCCAATACAGTTTCTATTGGTTAATATGTTTCTTTGAAGTTATTTCCTGAATAACATAGGAAGTTTCAATATTTACTTTTTGCTTTGTTCTGTTTTTTTTCTTTTGTTTTAATTTCTCAAGTGTGAAGATGATGGGCAGATGTTTTTCAGCCTTGATGATGGGAGCACCAAATTTACAGACCTAATACAGCTGGTTGAGTTCTACCAACTAAACAAGGGAGTTTTGCCTTGTAAACTCAAACACCACTGCATCCGTGTGGCCTTATGACCTCTGTTCCAATACTTGTTGAAGACTGGCTTTGCTCAAAGACTGGAGTTTCCAGAGAAACATTGTGAAAGAAGGTGGACACTGGGACATTAGCAGACATGTTATTGTTTTTTTAAAAACTAAAAATAGCACCAGGTATGCACCTTGGGACTCAAAAAGGGATGAATTTAGCTGGTGCCTACAGACCAAGACTTTGCTGGTTTGTATAATACCCAAACATAATTGCTGCTGAGTAACCCAGCAAGCCCCCAAAGTTGAGAAAGGGTATGTAAAATCACTAAACAAAACTGGAAACTTTCCCTTGGCTGGTCCACTAAACAGAATCAAGGTTGTGAAGCAAAATTATTGAAAAAAACTCTTGCCCTGGAATAATCTTGACATTTTAAAACTTAGTGTGTTTACTTTTTGTATCAATCACTATTTTTGTCTTTGTTTTTGCACTCCTATTTTTGGATATGCATATGGCCTATATTAGGAGCTGATAACAGCTTTTAAGTTTGTGCAGGATCTGGGTATTGATCTAAACCCTATACTGCATGAGTTGCTTCGGGATCAATGACATCTAGGATCTAGGTGTCTGATGACTCCACACCAGAGAATAGCATATGCTAATATTCTTGAAGAATCAGTATAGCTGCAACTCTGAAAAGACAAAGAAACATGCACCATCACAGACAATAATTTCTAAAATGATGATTTTAAAAAAAATAATGGCCTAAATCCATTGTTAGTCTAAACTGGAGTAAACCCACTAAATCAGTGGGAACTTAGTAAAACAAGGTTTATTCAGAGGGTCAACTCTAATGGGATAATAATTGGATGTAGGCCATTGGCTGTTGCCTGTGATTAGTGCATTAGGGGTAAGTGGTCATGTAAAGGACTCTGATTCTATGCACCAGTGTTCTGAACCTATTTTATCCTAGGTCGGTTTTCTCCTTTTTCAAGTACCCCATTCTGCACACATCCTATGGGGAAATCAATTGTCATTACTTAAAGCAACTTTTAAGATCATATATATTCTTGGAAACAGTTGGGAGCAGTATGTTGTGTGTGAATGTTTTGGTGGCAAAGAGGGGCTTGCTTTGTTCTGTCTTATATGACAAAGATTGAGTGTTTATATCTTTCTTTAAAATTTTATTCCCTTAAATTTGGGGCTATAAATGCAGATGCAAAACAGATGCCACAATGTTCAATTACTTAACTGTGTTTAAGAATTTAGAATGTGCCCTCTAAAGTCACACACCCTTTCCCCGTGACCTCTATTTTTGAATTTTTGATACCAGCACAAACACTTCTTAGGAAATTGTACTTTGGTACTCTCTGTGCTTTGTGAAAATGTTGGTGCAGATGTTAACACTGTAATGAATTCCAAAACTATAAAAAAAGGCGGAAGCAAATGTGCAGTACTCCTAATTGTGGCTAGAATACTGGACAGTGTTTCATTAGCACGTACATAGTTCTCTTAAGGTGAGATGGTTATGTAAGAATGACATTCAGTCAGGTAAATGTGCAAAATGGAGTCAGTTGTATACACATTCTGCTTTGGTACCAGTGTCTCGGTGTGGGTATAATACATCAAGCACTGTCATGCAGCCCCTCCATCCAGTTCAGTCCAGCAAAGGAGACCTATGCAAGTTCCACTAGAATGAATGGATGATCATATGCAGCAGTACTGGTTTAATAGTTTGCAACATGTATTGGGAAATTCCACAATCCTCACCATTGCTGGATTTACCACTGTCAGCTTTGTCTATCTATTGGTATTTGGAGGTGTATGCACTAAAAGTTGGTGCCTGTAGCTGTGGCAAACTAGTTTGATTTTGCTTTGTTCCTGGTTCATCAGTTGTCTGAAACCTTCCATGTGGCACACTTACAGGGGCTTGGCTGTGTGGAGCAGGTAACATTCAATCCTCAATGACAGGTGCAGTTTCCTGGTTATAATACATGCAGCAATTAAAATATGGGTTGTTGAACAGTGGTTATATTTTGGTGTAGCAATGCTGTTAATTCCATACAGCTGTATGCATGGGGTATATATCACATGGAGGGTTTATAACATCTGGACCAGGACAATCTCTTGTTAATATCCAATTGATTCCATGTTTACATAGTAATAAGGGTTTTTTTATTTCTTGTGATAGCTAGCATTGAACTACGATCACTGTTTTTGACTCTCAATTTTTGGAGGTAATGGTCAGGTATATACAGAAAGTTTTTGTGTGTTTTTTACGGTTTATAAAGCAAGAATTATGTTCACCCCAGGAATGTTCAGAAGAACTGTTGCAAAATCAGTATCTTCTGTTTGTCTCCAGAGTTTTTATTGAACCATATAGGTTAAATTATAGTGATTGTCTTATCTAATTAATAGCCCACCTGAATGGCTGAGGTTGGGAAAACAGTTCTTTATTCATAAGGTATTCATGTAATGTTGAGAATAGCTTCAAATAATATAACTAGCTTGAGTCATGCATATCAGCTGAATTATCAATGGTATAGAAACACTGTATTTTAGTTTAAAGGACACCTTCTAGTAGCCTTTTTCCGTGAAATTTCTACATATATGATGAAGAAACTTGATCTAGTTTTCACTAGAAACTTTTTGGTTTTATATGTACATAATACATTTTATGTGAGTTTTTTTTTGTCAATGTTCTTAAACATCAAATTAAGCTAACTTGAATATCTGACTTAATTTTTCATTTTCTATTTCACCCCTCCTAAGACAGACTTGTATGAATTTAATATTTTCTCATTCGCCAGTTTTCAGTAAGACCATTTAGACTTTCTAACGTTTTAAGTTCATGTGTTTACATAGGTTAGTTCCAATGATGCAATTTCCCACTAATTGTTCCATATTTATAAATCTTGCATTTTAATTTAATTTGAGAATAAAAGATTTGACTATCAATAATGATTTTGAATGTAGATGGCTCACTATTTTGTTCACTCTTTCCCAGCTTTTAAGATTAGTATTTTTTAAAAGACATTGACCACATCAAAGTGGTTGCTAATACTTGAGCATACTATTATTGCCCCCACTCCCTTGCTGGAAATTAAAATTTAAAGAACTCTGCTTAATTATTTCCAGTAGAGAAAGCTGGCTGGCAGCTTAGAAACCAAGGGCTGAAGGATATTGGAGTTCTTTTTAAAAAAAATTTATTTAAATGATATGAATGTAAAGAGGGATGCTCAGGGTTGTTTCTGGAGCCTGTTGAATTTTTTTCTTTTCTTTTCTTTCTTTTTTGCCTGTGATTTTTTTATTTTCTAAATAAAATTCATCATGTAGCATTTGTGTAATATTTTGAGAAGGAAAATGCCAAACGATTTGGTAATTTTTTTTAAAAAAAAACTTAGTAGGTAAGTTATATTACAGTAGATGTTTTGTTTGTTAAGATACATTTTTATTTGTTGAATTAATCTTGAAGAAACACGTGCCTCTGTTTTTAGACGTTTTGTCTTATCTTTTCTGCACTAAGTACCTGATCGTTTTAACCAATCAATGCACCTTTCCAGTGGCAAGACTTGTTTATTGTAAATTATATTGTCACTAGGCAAGACTTTTTAGTGACTGCAAAATGAAATAAAAGTTAAGATTTCAGGGAATGCAAAAGGTATTAATTAACTTAAGAGACAAAACTTCATACTCAATATGTGTTGCTTCATACTGTAAATAGGAGGCTGGGGGGGGGGAAGGGTTGGGTAGTGAACCTAATTGTAATCTTTCGGGTATTTTTGTATAAATGAGGGACTGATTCTGTTTCTTGTAACTAGAAATAAACATTCATACGATGCTATTGATTTTATATTATTCGTAATGTTTTGTATTTTTCAAAAGGGGCATGTAAATGAAGCTAATGAGGGCAACATACTTGAAACCAAAGCTAGCAAACATTATTTTGCTCAGCAGTTTCCATTTCCCTAATCCTTTTCACTCAAGTAGCAATAAATGTTGACACTCATAGCCAGATCTCCAGAACTGTAGGCAACTGTGTTGGTCCATTTCAGAAAACCAGTTCTAGCAGGTTTCATTCCTACAGGACCAAATATTCTGGGTCTTAAATTTTCTATTCAGCATCAGGCTAGCACAAAATACTTGGAACTACAACAGGGAAAGCTCATGAACAAAACATAGTTCTAGGAAAATCTGTCTCTCTGCCACCACAGCTACTGTGAAAATAGCAGCTTTCTATGTGAGCCAATATATAAATTTAGGAATATTTTTGAAAAAATTACAAAATTGCCTGTCAGGACAATTGTTCTCATAAGGCAGTGTACAAAATTATGGATTGATTACCATAAATATCCTGTGCTACTCAAGGCAGTTTATAGTAAGAAAATAGTTAATGAACAGAATCTTAACTAAAATGTAACACACAATTCAACTGAAAACATATCCCTCAACCACAAGGTGTTGTGTTTTTTTTGGGGGGGGGGGGTTAAAATCATTGAGTGAGTTCTGGTTTGTTTTCTGAACCCATGCAAATTCCATTGTCTTAAGAATTGGGATAAAAGTTCTGGTTGAGATTAGATTAAAGGTACATGTCTTGTCTCTCCTGAACCACTGAGAATGCTACCCTTCTGGATGGATTCAACCAAAGAACGCATGTCATTTGTACTTCTCAACATCATGAGTCCTGCTTCTCAGCTTGAGACTTTTTTCTTTCTTTCTTTCTTTTTTGGTCTTTGCACATTGTATTGGCTGAGATAGATAGATAGATAGATAGATAGATAGATAGATAGATAGATAGATAGATAGATAGATAGATAGATAGATAGATAGATAGATAGATAGATAGATAGATAGATAGATAGATATTGGAATGGTGGCCACAGGTCGAAAAGTCTGTAGGTCGAGGGTCCTTTTCCCATAGAAAATAAATGCAAAAAGCAGCACCTTGCCGGGACTCCTGGCCATGCTTGGACTCCTGGACTTCCGCTGCCACCGCTGCTGAGAGCCGAGCTGCGCTGGGTGATCCCAGCCATGCTCAGACTTCTGGACTTCTACCGCTGCTGGGAGCTGAGTTGCGCCAGGCGATTCTGGCCATGCTCAGACTCCTGGACTTCCCCCACCGCCGCTGCCGCTGCTGGGAGCTGAGCCACACCACTCTCGGACAGCGGCGGTGGGGGAAGTTCAGGAATCCAAGCATGGCTGGGATCGCCTGGTGTGGTGCGGCTCCCGGCAGCGGCGGGGGACCTCCGGAGGCCTTCCAGGGCTTCTCTGCCACCAATTTGAATTTGATGCTTTCCCCACCTCCCCTTTCCAGTCTGAAGGTTAATTCTCTGGCCGCAAAGCGAAGTGAAATTTTGCTGCAGGAGAAGTCCATAAGTCAATGGTCCACTGTAACACTTAGATCTTTATTTATTTGTTATGTATTCAAAAAATTTTTTACCCTGTCTTTCTCCTTAATAGGACCCAAAGTGAGTTGCATCATTAAAAGATAATATTAAAGTTAACAATTGTGAGTATACAAATACTAAATAGGATCAAACAAACACTATAGGCGGGGTATAAATAAATAGATAGATAGATAAATAAATAAATAAATAAATAAATACTAAAAACATAAGCAACTCCAAAACACATTCAAGTTACAACAGCAAAACATAAGCAACCCCAAAACACATTCAAGTTACAACAGTCCATTTAAAAACTGCATCTAGGCAGTCAGTCACAAAGGAAAAGTTTGCCACGAAGAGAAAGGTATTCACCTACTTTTGGAAAGATAGTAAGATGGGGCTAGGCTAACTTCCTGTGGGAGGAAATTCCAAAGTCTGGGAGCAGCAACAGGGAAGGCCCTCTCCCATGTACCCACCAGACACACTTGTGAAGGTGATGGGACTGAGAAAAAGGCCTCTCCTGATGATCTTATCACTTCCACAAGGTCATAAAAGGGGATGCAATCCTTGACATAGCTTAGGCCCAAGCTGTTTAGGGCTTGATAGGTTAGAAGTAACACTTTGAATTGTGCCTGGAAATGGATCAGCAGCCAGTGGAGCTGCTGCAAATTATGTTGTGACTAGTCCCAGTTTTGGACTCACTGACAACTTGGTCTGGAAAGAGATCAGTAGCCAATTGAAGCTGTTGTAATCACTTGCCCCTTCTAACTGTCCCAGGTCAACTGTCTGTCTGTAGTATTTTAGACCAACTGAAGTCACTTCAAAGGTAGGGCAGTATAATTAAGGCATGAACAAACATTAGCCAGATAGTACCTCTAAGAAGAGGTAAAAGTGATACACTAGCTTTAGCTGTGCAAACATCTCTACTGACGGCACTGAAATCAGGACATCCAGGTTCGGGGTAGAAGCAAAGATTTCACACAGATTGCAAGTTTTGAGTCTGGAAAGTGAATGTAACCTCATCCCGCAAAAATGGAATCCCTGTTTTCTCAGCTGTCCTGTGGACTAATCTGAGATACCTCTGTCTCCTCTGGATTAAGTTCACCTTTTAACCCACATCCAGCCAATTGATGACATCAAACCCTAATTTAAAACCAGGATAGCTTATTTCTTTTTGATGTGAAAGAGAGAGTCATGTTAGTTCAGTTAACACCTGAATGTTCCCCTGGAGTCCTACAAAATTTCATTGATCTCCAGGAAAAACGATCAGAAGCCTGTGTTTGTCACAGGTGGAATATGTCCTATTATAGAGTTAATTGCAGAATGAGACCAAACAATCACATCCGATCATATCATCTGGGTTTCAAAGTATTAGTCCCATTCTTGCAATAATTTCAGGCAACATTAGCTTGTCCAGTTCTACAAGCTTTATTTATCTACATTGCTTCTGTTTTCTATATGTACAACATTATTTGAGGGCTGTGGCGAAATACAAATTCTACACTCATGAAGGAAATTGTAGGCATGAATAATTAAAGAAATTATGAAATATGAACTTAAAGTTCTTTGTGGCCTCTGTGAATCAAACCCTGGGTGATGGTGCCTGTGCGGAGCCTCATCAGAAAGTTCTAGAGCTTCTGCGGTTTCAAAAAACACAGAATAATGTCCCTCCTCCCTCGTATAAGTACCTTGGCACCAAGGCTCCCCTTTCAGTTTCTTTCAACCGCTGCATTGAGAGCCTCATAGTTCTGCTTCTGTGAGTAAAAGAGAAAGAGTTTATTCTTGATTCCTTCCTGTTATCAATCTTTTTTTTCACTTTAAACTTTTAGATCAAATTCATTATCATCAGAAATTTTTACTTTTTTACTTTGCTCGGCCTCCGGCCACAGTACCTCCCTCCCCATCATTGTTTCTTCTCCTCAAATTATTTTCTCCTATGCATGGCCCCTTTGGGCCTGTTTAAGCACTGTGTGGTCTGTGATAACAAAATACCACTCTCCAACGGCCACGCCAAGTGTCTTTTTTGCTTGGGAGAGGCACACCAGACATCCTCCTGCCATCATTGTAAGAACTTCAAGTGCAGAGTCCTCCGTTCTCGCTTGTCCAGATTAAAACTCCATCTTTGAGAACAATCCCTTCAACCAACCAAAATGGCCCAACCTCCTTGTAAGGCCACCTCACAAACCAAAGCAATGGAGAAGGTTCTTTCCGAAGCCTCCAAACAATGTCCATCAACCACACCATCCCACTCCGATGCTCCATCTAGTTTGTCTAAAACTTCAAAAACCCATAAATCGAAGCGCTTGATACTGAAATCCTCGATATCAA